ACCTTTTTGTAAAAAATATCAGAGGACATTTGTGCAGAGTCGCCACTAGTAAAGCAATAGAATAACTGTTTAACTAAAATAAGTTCTTTTATTTTATAAATTGGAAATAATATCCAAAGAGCTTTCGGAGATTTTAAAAATTACATTTTTAAAACCCTGTAACGAAAATTTAACCTCTTTAGGGCCTACGACCCCCTCGATTTTTTACTATTTATTCCCTTTACGGCATAATTTACAATCATCGAATACAATTTTTAGGAGTTTCACCAATTGCTTATAATTCTTTAGTTATAGCGTTTATCAATGGTTATATAGTATGGGTAGCATAAATAACTGGGTATAAAAATAATGTATTCTTTTTAAATTTCTATAATGACCAATTCAAGCATAAACCATTCATTTGAAACACCTTTGTCATTGTCAATATGATTATCCTTTAAAAGTTGAATACCCCAGAAGAACAAAAAGCGTTATTCGAGTCTTTTCAATTCGAGTTTATTTTGCCGTTTCTATATTTATACATTCCGTTCTAGTTACGAATTTCAACTTTACTGCTCCGTGGTAATGGAATAATTTTCTTTTGTGGCTAAAAGCCTTAATATTTCCCGCTTTATGAATACATTATACCTATTCGCTGTTGTCAATGTATTTTTACTTTTATATTTATTTAGTCGTTTTTAACAACTTTAATTGCCTCAAGTTGTTTTTTAATTTATTTTGTATATTTCGATGCTACTAAGAGTTCTTAGACGCATCGTTTTCACTGCTAGTACTACTTTTTAGAAGCATCGAAATTAGGGATTTTTTATTTCAGACTGTTGGAACCTTTTTCATTTTTATATCAACGATGTGGTAAAAACTCATTTTTCTGATTATTAATAAATGTAAAAATAAAATCATTATAAGTAAATGTAAACTTAGAAGCATCAAAATGAAAAAAACAAAATTTGAAGTTTTATTTTGACTGGTATAAAATAATTAATTTTGACATTTCGCTTTACATCAATTGCGACAACCTAGTAACAAATTAAACTACTTGTTTTTTTATGATTCATTTAGTTTTATTGACAAATTATGGTGAAAAAAATAGTATAACAAACTCTTGTGAAAAAATTGAACCTACACCTTGGGTCTCATCAGTGTCGGTCAACTTGGTGTAGTGGAACACACTCAAAACAAAGGACTCCCTGAGCTTATATGCTCGGTTGGTAAGCCAACAGAGGCGAGATGTAAGAACATCAGGTGATCCACACCATCAAACGACGTGGCCTTTGCCGCAATCGGTACATACTTTGCAACCGAGACTGCACAAAGCAATTGTATCACAGATACTAATATGGCCTAAAGGAATCTAGAACTAGCCCAACCGGGCTCAACATTAAGGTAAACATTCAATTTTCTTAGTTTCTTTAAGAAACTTTCTTGACCCATTACTGGTAATATTCATCAGCAAATCAGCAAAGCGCTAATACAGTAAAGGAACCACATAGAGGGACATGTGGATCGCAGCAACAAACGATAAGTTAAATAGCTTTAAACCGCATGATTTCTTTTCCATTCTCCACTAATAAAGTAATCTTGCATTTTCTACCAACCCTCTCAAAGAAGTTAATCGTCTTTAAAGCATCTTAACCAGGAAAACAAAACAGCCAATCAAGAAAAAGATAATTCCCACAGGACAGCAAACGTAATTTTTCGTTATTATAAATCGGTACATAACATTCATAATCTAGCCCCAAAGCACTAAACACAGTCGCCGTGATACGTAATAGATGGTAATATAAACAAAGTACAGTCACACAGACAATAATAATAATAATAATAATAATAATAATAATACTTTATTGCCCAACAGATTTACATCCAATTAAAGGACAAAATTATACAATATACAATAAGTTTGTACGTACATAAAATAAAACAACATTTACACATCAATGATACTCTTGAAAAAGTAATCAGCTTCCTTTAATAAGAAAGTTAGCGAAGAACTATTAATGTCAATTTTTGAAGATATTTCGTTAATATTTTTGATCATGACTTGCACTGGAGATTTCAACAAAACATTAGTACGGGCATTATCTTCCCTAAAAGTTAATTTAGTCCTAGAGTTTAAACGGGGAATATACAGATTAAACATAGATAATAACAACATACAGTCGATATTATTATGAAACAAGTCATACACAAATTTTATGCTAAACTTAACTCTACGCAATTCAAGTGAGTCCATTGAAAAGGCCCGAAGTAATTCAGCCTGAGGATGACCTCTGATAGGATAAAAACCATGAATTCTAAAGTTTACAAATTTCAGGAATCGTCTTTGGATATTTTCCAACGAAACTTTGTAGGTTGTGTAAATTGGGTACCAAATCAAGCTGCAATATTCGAGCCTTGAACGAACAAACGAATAATACAAATTTTTTAATGCGTTTATATCATTGAATGTATCAGAATTCCTTATAATAAATCCCAACATTTTTAGGGAAGAACTAGTTATATTACTTATATGCCTATCAAAAGTTATTTTATAATCAAATAAAACACCCAGATCTTTGACAGTATCAGAACGTTCCAGTAAAGAGTTATTAAACATATAATTAAATGTTAACGGATTATGGCCTTTGTAATATGACATAACTTTACACTTAGAGGCATTCATATACAATTTATTGGCATGACACCATTGGTTAATTTTGTTTAGATTATTTTGAATCATACTGCAGCTCTCAGCACCATCCACTCTAAGAAATATTTTTAAGTCATCTGCGAACATAAGTTTTTCACAGTCAAGGTCTTGAACAATATCATTAATAAAAATGAGAAAAAGCAGAGGGCCTAAATTTGAGCCTTGCGGGACTCCAGATTTACAAATAAATGGCAATGAGTTAAACCCATTATAAGAGACAAATTGAGTTCTATTAGTGAGATAAGAAGCAAAGAACTGAGTTAATGAATTGTCAAAGCCAATAGTATTAAGTTTGCTCACAATAAGCGAATGACTAATCCTGTCAAAGGCCTTCGAGAAATCCGTGTACACCACATCAACTTGAGATCGCTGGTCAAGTGCTTTGGAAACATATTGGGTAAAATAAACAAGATTAGTAGTTGTGGAGCGACCAGCCATAAATCCATGCTGATGCGGTGATAGTTGATTACGAATAAAGGGATAAATGGTGGAGTACAGGGTCATCTCGAAGACCTTCGCAAAGTTAGACAGTATCGAGATGGGGCGATAGTTCGACATATTGGACGCATCACCGCCTTTAAGAACTGGACAGACACGAGCGATTTTCCAAATATCTGGAAAAGTGGAATATTTAAGAGCTATATTAAAAATATATACCAGAGGTTGAGCCAATACGTGAGCACAATCCTTAACCAGAAAGCTTGGCATCTGGTCATGTCCGGAGGTCATCTTATCACCCAATCTCTTAACTGCCCTAATTACCTCAGCTTCAGTGAGACTGTTAATTACTGGAAAATTACAATTTATGTTAGAAGCTGAATAGGAATCAGTTGAATCATCGCTTGTAAAAACAGAAGAAAAATATGAGGAAAAGCCATTCACAATTGAGAGCGGGGAATCAAAGGTGTTTTCGCCAAAATGCATCTTTCCTGGTATTCTAGTTTGAGTACGTTTATTATTTATATACCTCCAAAAATTTTTGGGATCAGTTTTAACTTTGCCTTGTAATTCAGTTAAATAAGAATTGTAGGCTATTTTAATGTCAGCTTTAACTTTAGATCTAACTTGTTTAAATTGATCATAATAAAAAGTATTGTTAAATTTTTTGTATAATTTAAAATATTTATATTTTAACTTAATATTAGCTATAATATTGGGTGAATACCAGGAAGGATACCTAAAAGAATATTTTTGATGTGTGTATGTAGGCACAAATATATCAAAAGTTGAATAAAGCTTGTCATAAAACATTTTACAGGCAATGTTGATATCAGAAGCATTATTTAAGAAGTTCCAATCAATTTGTTGCAGTGACTCATATAATAAAGGAAAGTTGGCTTTTTTGAAATTATATTGCTTCGAATTCTGTGTATTGTTAACAGGAAAATTATAATATTTTTCAAAATGCAAAAGTACATCAACTTCTAAAGCTGGGTGGTAACGATCTTCTTTAACAAATGGATTATTATTGTGTGAAACTGTACAATCTACATTTCCCAACACTAAATCTAAAAGCTTAGAGTCACTGTTGAAAATAGCATTATATTGAATAAGGTCACTAAAATTTAAAAAGTTATGTACATAATGTGATTTACTGTCAGTAACATCGTTAAAAGAGAAATTTGGGACATTGAAATCACCAAATATAATAATGTGTTTCATATCTACAATGAGGTGACCAAAAATGTCAAAAAATTGTTCCAAATCAGTGGCTGTAGTGTATGGAGGAATATAAAAATTAAATACATTAATTAAAGTACCTTGAATATAACATTTACATCCAATAGCATCAATAAAGGCTAGGTTATCGGTAATAGGACTTAAATCAATAGGAGTAGTATTAACAGAATCATTTAAGGACAGTAATACACCACCACCAGTTGATTTGTTTACAAGATCAAATTTTCTATCATTACGTAAGACAGAGTAATTATTAGGAAAGTATTCACAACTAGAAATATCGGTAGATAGCCATGTTTCTACTAATGCCACACAATGAAATTCATTGTCCGACACTGCACTATAAATATCACTTACTTTTGTTCGCATACCACGCACATTTTGGAAATAACACTTAAAGTTGAAAATGCTGTTGGGCTTCGTTAGTTTTCCACAATCTTAGGCAAACCTTTGACATATTTATTAAAAACAACTTTATAAAGCAAGCTAAAAAACTAAAAAATATGGAGGATTTTAAAAACATCAACGTGTCATTAGATAGAACTCCAAGGCAACTCCAGTTATATTCCTCAGTAAAATTAGAACTTTCTAATCGTTTGGCAAATGGAGAAAACAACATCAGAATTAAATATTATTTAATTCTGATGTTGTTTTCTCCATTTGCCAAACGATTAGAAAGTTCTAATTTTACTGAGGAATATAACTGGAGTTGCCTTGGAGTTCTATCTAATGACACGTTGATGTTTTTAAAATCCTCCATATTTTTTAGTTTTTTAACTTGCTTTATAAAGTTGTGAACCAAGGATTCTTCGTTGAAATTAATTCTAACGGGTCGTGGTTTCTCAGCTGTAGGCGAAAATTTGCCAAGTCTAATTGGTTTGATGTCAGAAATGGTAATATTTAAATAATTAAAGATCCTAGAAATAACAACATTGTCTTCCGCTTCACGTGTATTGTAATCATTGCATTCTTTAACGTTATATATAATTACGTTATTTTTCCTTTTTTCACGTTGGAGAACTTCTTGGATAATTTCTTCAGGACTGAGTCCCTCAGTAGATGTGGATTTATGTTGTTCCAATAATAAAACCTTTTCTTGAAGTTTTTTATTATCATCAACAAGAACATTAATTTTATCATTAAAGCTCTTAAAGGTATCTTCCATTTGATCTTTTATATTTTTAACGACCAGTTCAGCTATTTTGTTAACGAATGTTGTATTTTCAATAAAGAATTTTTCAATACATTCAGTTATGGTCTTATTTAGAGAATCAGATTCCTTTTTAGGAGGCATTGTAATTATGCAGTGAAAATTAAATAATAATAATACGGTACTGGCCAAGTAATTGAATTAAAATTGAAAAAAAGACGCAAAAAACCTTCCAACACAACAAAGTTTGGGCAGGTTAAGTATAGAAAATATGCTATAATTTACTTATAATAGCAATATTTATTAATGAGATGGACTTACTTGTGTTTAAATATCACATAATGTGCAAGAACAAAATTTAATTGCTTATCAAACTTAACAAAATACAATGAATCATTCACAAACGCAAATGCACGTACAGAACCGTATTGCAACAATAAACACGCCAACACATTACTATAAAGGACCTTACTAAAATAAAGGTAAGATTTACGCACTGTGGGATAAAATAATAATTCTTTACTGATTATTTCTTAAGGGTTCTCTCAAAGTGGGTCAATTTGTATATACTTGTTTCCTATTAATCAGCCTAGTAAATAAGTACTTGCTTAAACGGTTGTATATCCTTTGTAATCAGTACTTGTAATGAACAGCTGCTTATTCTAAATAACCCGACATGAAGGGAGGACCTTCTCGAAGTCAGCATAAGGGGAAGGAACAAACCGACGCAGAAACAGACTCTGGCATAAAATCGCAAGACGTAGACTACGACTACGAAAGACAGCGACTGAACAACTCCCCAACTGCAAATAGAAATTTCATATGTCTTTAGTAATACTAACGTCCAGGTTTAGGGGAAATCCGTATCGTACCCAGATTTGGGTCGGCATAATTGTCCCCTAAAAACCAAAAGGTACATCCCCCCGTCCCTATCTCCATTTGATCCTCCTGGGCGTATAGCAACGGCCCGGCAAAACCGGAAAAGGCTATTCAAACTATTCGCATATCGCTTTCAAGACCCAAATAGGGTACAGTACCGGACGCGGTGAACACCGAGCAAACATACAATTAAAATCTGCGTAGGGTAACGAAAGCTTGTGCGGGGTTCGAAAGATATGAGGCAATGGGGCCAGTAGGGTGAGCCAAAAAAACTAACCTATCGGATTTATGGGTTAAAATGAACCTACATACCGAGCAAAAAATTTCCCTGCAAGGCAAAAATTTTTGCTCAATTTTAAAAGGTGTCGGTGAGCATTCTTCAAGTTTTCCATTGAAATAACACGTAAAAAAATCCTTTTTCATTAAAAAGACTATAACTTTTGAACCGTTTGAGATAAAAATTTTTACGTCGCGGATTCTTGTAGAGCATAAAATTTCCCAAAGAATCTATACCAGGAATATTTTTTTTAATTCAAAAATTCGTATGTTTGAAAGCTTTGAAAAGTGTAAAAAATCACTACAAACTGCAGTTTTAGGGGCCAGGTATACGACTCTTATACTCATAGTCAATAAATTAGGCCTATAAATACTGGACAGTTTTACCTTTTTTAAGTTGGTTTATGTTTGCACTAAATATCCTTATTAACCAAGAAGCTACAGAGTTTAACGAAATCCTCTGCAAAATGCAAAATAACTGACGCAACCAATACAAAGTTAGCGCTAAAAAAACTTTATTGAAAAAGGATCCCATGATACTACTTCCATTATTAAAATGTATTTGTAATATTATTATTGGTCGTTTCTGACCAGGAATAAAAAATCTTTAGTTTTAAATCAGATTTTGTTTAAAAAATAATTATGTATAGGAGCATATGGTTTGCTTTCATAAGATTGATTAGTATAGTTTCCAAATAATATAAATAATATAGTGTGAACAATATTTATCTCCTTTTTCTATCTCTAAAATATTAAAAAATAAATTGTATTTCACACCATAGTCTACCATTTTTTTAATTACTTATTTTTGTCCAAGATATTAATATGCCATTTTATATTAGTTTGTAGTATTTATTATACAATTTACAAACTAATAAGTATTGAATAAGCCTATTAGTTACATTACCTAATAGGATTTACTTAAAACCAAATAACATAATTATAAGTTTGGAACTTTGTTATGTGATAAGGAGTAAAGCAGTAACTTTGTTTAAGAACAAAGGGTAACTTCGGATAATTTATAACTAAGTAGTTCATTGGTTAATCGAAAATATAATTTCAAGAATTACATAAACATACCTTAAGAAATTCTCAGTGCAAAATTTTATCTGCAAGTTTTAAGTGTACATAATATGTACACTAAAAACTTGCAGATAACATTTTGCTCTAAGAATTTCTTAAGGTCTGTTTATTTAATTCTTATATTATTTATTAATTAATTATATATTATGTTAGGCTTAAAGAACGAAAACGCTCATTGAATAAAAAAAACGCCCTTAACGCATTGCGGCATCTTTAAATCATGTTGAAAACTAAAAAAGACCACAAGTGAAGGTAATTATGAAAAGCCAGAACGCGTTCTGAACTTTGGTATCAGGAAAAAATTTTAAATGGTTTTATTTATGAACATGTTTTATTAAATTTTTGATTTAAACAAAATATTATTTAAGTGATCACCACTTATATTTGTTAAATCACAAACATAGCGCAATAAATCCATTGCAGGATGAAAGAAAGGTTTTGGACTTCCATTACCTTGGTATTTTTTATCACGAAGTTTAGATTGGCAAGTCGTCTTTAGGTAAATACTTTATGTACAGTGTTCACCTAAAGACGACTGGTTAGACCTGCCAGTCAAAACATCGTAATTAAAAATACTAAGGCAATGGAAGTCCAAAACCTTGTTTGCAATATTTTTCAGCAAATTTGTCATCTATGTTATATTCTATGCCATCTTATTGTTCTTTTTATAATTTATTTAAATCATAAAATAAACATTTGTTTTTAAGTTTCTCTAATAATAAACTACATCAAATTGCAACATAAATATTTAAAATCAAGCTTTTACCCCATGTTTTAGCATTTTTAGAAGAGCTTTTTGAATTTTTAAATATATACTATGTATACTATGTATACTCTTCAATAATAGGACAAATTTACATCAAACAAATATCCATTAACTTTATAAAGCAATAAACCATTATATATAATCGCCGACGGTGGTCTAGTGGTTAGTGCTGCTGTCTACAAGCCATAACTTAAAATAACTGAATTCGTAAAATACCACAAATTTTTTTCAATTTTTCAAAAGGGTTTTTTTTTATTTTTTCCTTAATATCTATACCATAAATTATAAAAAGCACAAACTGACAGTCTCTAATTTTTTACACATAAAACATCTAAACAATATTGCCCCTGTATCGGATGAGCGAAGGGAATGGCGAGCTGCGAGACAATTTCAAATTGTATCATGGTTTCAGGTAGGCCAAAACATCGGCCAGGGGGGTTGCTATATTGCGTTACAACGTATATATAGTGGCCTCCTTTATGATGAACATTACGTGCCAGGCACATTTGTTTTGTTCATTTTATTTATACACCTTTATATACTTGAAATTACTTTTACAATTTATTATATTTTTGATTTTTGATTTTTTTTGATTTTGCTGTCTACAAGCCGGAGGTCGTGGGTTCGAATCCCACCAGGGGTATGGCTGTTTATTTGTGTTTGTACTATTGTGTATTAGTCCTTCGGAGGGGACTTTAAGCCCGCGGTCCGTTCCTACCCCTAACCCGCACAAGCCATTCAGTTGGCTTATGGGACTTCTTAAGAAGTAAGGGTGGAACTAAAAGAGCACTTTTTTATAAACTTTTTGTATATAGTCATTCCATAAAATTTCATATAATGACAAAAGCTCGACATCTCAGATTTTACAAAAAGTTTCAGGGTTTGAATGCTTGAGATGAACTAAAATTTTGAAGAATTTTCGTTTAGTCCCTCTGGACGAAAAAATGCATTTTTTTCGCCAAAAATGTGAAATTTTCATAATTTAGATGGTATTTCCTGCAATTTGGATACTTTTTTTTATAATTTCGCATTTTATATTCTAATCAATATTTATAATTACTTTAAATAATAATATACACCGAATCAAATTTTCATAGCCTACTACATAATATCAATGGTAAAAAATTAACATTTTCAGTTAATAAAAACGTAAATTTAGCACTAAAAACTGCATTTGTAAAAACATTTGAATAATTTTAGGCATATATTTAAAAAGTACATTGTTTTATGGTTAAAACAAAATATTATGCGATAGAAAATATTAATAAATATCTAAGTTATAAAGGGTTTTCTTAGACACCGATTTGGTTATTTTTTATGCAAACCGGTCAACTTGGCCCTGCCTACTTTCTCAGGGTGTTTAAATAAAAAAATATTATTGTGGTTTTTGTTCATCCTTCAAACCCTGAAAGTGTTAAGATAATCTAATTAGGTCAGCTTTCAATTTTTGTCAAATTTGGTGAAAAATGATATATCATATCATTATATTGATTAAACAATAAAAATATTATAGTCATTCTATAGAATGCCACTATAATATTTTTATTGTTTAATCAATATAACATTGTACATACTGAAATTAAAGCTTGAATAAAAAATTTATGTGTAGGTAATATTTTTAGTACGAGATATTTTATGTCCTAAAACAAAAAAAATCGTTTTATATTATTACAACTTATAAAATATGCATTTTAATGTTTATAGTAAAAAGGAAGCTGCCAAGAGTTTATACATTACCTTGTGTAATACACAATTTATACAAATTTATTGTAATAGATGTTTCAGAGGAGGGTTTTCAAGCATACAATATTTTTCTTCCTACGCTATGATAAAGTTGAATTTTACGGTCTTTATGGGGACCAAAAAGTAGGTATTCCCACGGCTAGCCATGCAAAACTTCCACAAATGGCTAGGCAGGAAAAAATATACTGTTACATCCATACCAACGGCAGAAAATTCTAGACATACCGACAAGTCAAAATAATAGTTATTTGCATTAACAGATGCAAAACTATACTTTTAGATGCGGGGTGTTTTTAAATAACTGAGCCGAAGAGTGCGTAGCCGAGGCATTTTAAAAACTGCGAGGTACTAAAGAAAACAGCAGTTATAGCATACTGCTGTAACAGTAATGTCTGTG